ATGTTATTAGGATTGGGTGGTGGTACTTCGCTCTTTTTTTTTTTTTTTTTTTTTTTTTTTTGAGACAGAGTCTCGCTTGTTGCCTAGGCTAGAGTGATGCCGTGGCGTCAGCCTAGCTCACAGCAACCTCAAACTCCTGGCTCAAGCAATCCTCTGCCTCAGCCTCCCAGTAGCTGGGACTACAGGCGCACCCCCCATGACCCAGCTATTACCAACCACATCTAATTACCTAAGTAACATTTAACACATATGGTAATAACTAACATTTCCTGGGTACTTGATAAGTCCAATACAATGCTAAGCAACTTCACATGCACTTTCACATTTAATTCTCACAACAATCCTATGAAGTACTATTATTATTTCCAGGAGGCTGAGGTTGGACAATTAGCAAAGGTGGTGAGGACCAGACTAGACCTCTGGGTCTCTCTGACCTCAGGACCTTCCTTCTTACCCCTGTACACAAAGTGTCTCTAGTAATTATCTCCCTTACTAAACTGTGAGAGCCTAGAGGACTAGGACTACCTTTTACACATCTGTATCTATAGCAGGGGGCAGAGTGCAGTAAGACTCAGTAAGTGTCTAGTGAATGAAGGAGGAAGTGCTTTCTCGATCATCAAAACTATATTATGTTAGGTATGATTTTAATGTTAAGTATACTTAACTATAATATATAGTGTATAGAAATAAAATACAGAAAAACATTTATATAATAAGACAAATATATAAATATATGTTATTATTTCTATTAAATTATTAATCCATGTGTTATGCTGACACAGAAGAAACAGCCATTTTGTTAGGTGAAACATGCTCAAGTTCAAATAATAGCACTTTTATATTTTACAATCTAAGAAAAAAAGCCATGTCAACTCTTACTTATATAAATAAAATGCTTCATTACCAGATTTTTCCACTTAACTAGAGGCTTATCATTATAAAACTACTAGAGAAAGTTTTATGAAAAATTAAGGACATCATATCTATAAGTACTTTCTTCTATTGGTTGAAGATCTAACTTTGATTTAACCTTATTTTTTTATTATTTTTCATGCCATTAGGGTCAATTTGGTCCTAGGGAAAATTAAACCAGATACATACATTTTTTTTCTTTTCAAGCTGCCAGGTTGTATACCTCCTTTTGAAGTCCTTCTTCATGAAATCCTCCCCTTTGAGTGTGTTTATAAGTTTTTTTTTTTTTGGGGGGGGGGACAGAGTCTTGCTCTGCTGCCTGGGCTGGAGTGCACTGGTGTGACCATAGCACACTGCAACCTCAAATTTCTGGGCTCAAGTGATCTTCCTACCTAAGCCTCCCAAGTAGCTGGGACTACATGTGCGCATCACCATGCCTAGTTAATTTTTCTATATTTTTGCAGATGTGGGGTCTTATGCTTGCTCAAACTCCTGGCCTCAAGTGATCCTCCTGCCTCAGCCTCCCATAGTGCTAGGATTACAGGTATAAGCCACTCTGCCTGCTCCCCTTTTAATATTAACTCCATCTTTATTCCATGCCCTGACCCACCTCTCAGTGTTCCCCAAGTACTTTTGTAATCATCATGTTACATATGTTTGCAGTGACCAGTTTTTGTTCAATATTGGTCTCTTGTATCTGATTATGTAAAGCATTTGCAATGGAGGAACTGTTCCCAACTCATTCAATTTTTGTAATAGGTGACTGGTTGACTATGGATAGTTAATAACTTTTTTTTTTTTTTTTTGATAAAGGACGTTATGCCCATTGGCATCTTGGTAATAACTAACATTTATTTTTACCTGAGAGAGCAAAGGTGCATTTGAGAAGAGAATTGGATTTCTTTTTTTTTTTTTTTTTTTTTGAGACAGAGTCTCGTTTCTTGCCTAGGCTAGAGTGAGTGCCGTGGCGTCAGCCTAGCTCACAGCAACCTCAAACTCCTGGGCTCAAGTGATCCTCCTGCCTCAGCCTCCCAAGTACTGGGACTACAGGCAGAGCCACCTGCCGGCTAATTTTTATATATATATTAAGTTGGCCAATTAATTTCTTTCTATTTTTATAGTAGAGACGGGGTCTCGCTCAGCTGGTTTTGAACTCCTGACCTTGAGCAATCCGCCGCCTCAGCCTCCCAGAGTGCTAGGATTACAAGCATGAGCCACCCGGCCCGGCCTGATTCTTTTATTATTTTTTATTTTTTGAAGAAGTCTCGCTTGTGCCCAGCCAGAGTGAGTGGAGGTCACAAGTCAGCACTCAAACTCCTGGCTCAAGTAATCTGCTGCTTCAGCTCCCAAGTAGCTGGGACTACAGGCATGCGCCCATGCCCAGCTAATTTTTTGTATATATATTAGTTGGCCAATAATTTCTTTCTATTTATAATAGAAACAGGGTCTCACTCTTGCTCAGGCTGGTTTCGATATTAGTGGCCAATTAATTCTTTCTATTTATAGTAGAAACAGGGTCTGCTCTTGTTCAGGCTGGTTTCGAACTCTGACTGCAAGCAATCCGCCCGCCTTGGCCTCCCCAGAGTGCTAGGAATACAGGCGTGAGCCACTGCTCCCGGCCTGGATTTCTTAATTATCATCAATCATTAGTTCCTGTTTCAGTTATTTATCATTATTTTATTATTATCAAAGGTGTTAAAAGAATGTTGAATATACCTAGGAAAGCCAGCCTCACTCCTGAGAGATGTGTTAAATCTGTTCAGCACTTAATTACATCAGGACTTTTGATAACAACAGGCCCACTTCCAGAAAAAGATGATGAGATTTTTTATCCAAACTATTATCAGGAACAAACAAGTTCACCATAACCATTGTCTGTTTAATCATATGTTGCTTATATTAAAACAAGTTACTTCACTCCACTCAAAAAGCAAGTACCAGGCGGGCGTGGTGGCTCAGCCTGTAATCCTAGCTCTCTGGAGGCCGAGGCGGGCGGATTGTCGAGGTCAGGAGTTCAAAACCAGCCTGAGCAAGAGCGAGACCCGTCTCTACTATAAAGAAAGAATTAATTGCAACTAATATATAATATAATAGCCGGGCATGGTGGCGCATGCCTGTAGTCCCAGCTACTCGGAGGCTGAGGCAGTAGATTGCTTGAGCCAGGAGTTGAGGTTGCTGTGAGCTAGCTGACGCCACGGCATCACTCTAGCCTAGGCAACAAAGCGAGACTCTGTCTCAAAAAAAAAAAAAAAAAAAAAAAGAGCACCTGTAGTCCCAGCTACTCGGGAGGCTGAGGCAGAAGGATTGCTTGAGCCCAGGAGTTTGAGGTTGCTGTGAGCTAGACTGACGCCATGGCACTCACTCTAGCCTGGTCAACAAGCGAGACTCTGTCTCAAAAAAAATGGTCTTTCCTACCTCTGTGGTATACATCACAACACAATGCTTAGAAGTGCTATAAAAGGTTGGTCCGATGGTAGTGGGTTACCAGAACGTATTAACATAGTGTCACTAAAGTTGGTATTCAACTCCCCCACTGCTAAATTAGACTGGCTTTTAAAAAACAAGTAAACAACAACAAAAAAAGAAGTGCTATAAAAAAGGAGAGAACTCCAAATTGAGTGACCTTTGTTATTTTCCTGCTGCTACACATTGAGTTGTGGAAGCAGTTCCTTTCAAAGAACTTGTTGCCCGCTTGTGATTGATCAGTTAAAAAGACAGCATATTATAGTAGCAAATAAAGTGCAGTTTAAAACCCTAGTCTGTAACTCCTGGACTCGAGCGAATCCCCCTGCTTTGCCTCTCCAATAGCAGTTGGAGAATGAGAACTCTTCCCTTATAAATTTCCAGTCTTTAATCTCTTTGAGAAGGGGTGGAGTTATAGTGTCTCAAGATGGTAGGAACACTCTCCTTAAAATTTATGACATAGACAGCTACGGCTGCGTTGCCCGCTTCCTTACCCGGCGGGGTGGGGCTGGCCCCCAGCTCACCCAACTGCCAGTGTTTGGCTGAAGTCTCCTCCCCTAAAAGCCCGCCACCTTCCCACCCAGCGCCCACCCCAGCGTTTCCTCTCCCATCACAGGTACCCCCAACTCACCCCACCCTGCTTCCTCCTGCTCCCAGACACACTTCCACTCCCCTAGATAACTCTTCTGTGGGATTGTCCCAATCTCCAATGGCCAGTATTCATCCGCAGGGCCAAGAAACGAAGCCCCCATGGAAAGAAGAGCTTCCGGGTTAGCGAACACGTAGCGGAAACAATCGATAGCGCGATCCTTCCACATGCCTTCTCCTGTGCTTCGCTTCCATCTGGATATTCCTGAGACCTAGCCTTTGTGATAAACCTGCACTCTAGTAAGTACACCGTTTTCCTGAGTTCTCTGAGCTGACCTATTGTGAAGGGTGGTGGTGACCGGCGATTATGGGAACCTCCGACGTATAACTGGCAGGTTAGAAGCAAAGGTAATCTTGGGATCCGGGAACTGTGCCATCTCTGGGCAGATAGCGTCAGAAGTGAGTTGAGGGCCAGGAACCGTGGTTCACGCCTGTAATCCTACCGTTACGGGAGGCCGAGGCGGGATGATCACTTGAGGTCAGGATTGAGAAAAGCCCGAATAAGAGCAAGACCCTGTCTCTACCAAAAATAGAAAAAATTAGCCAGAGACCCTGTCTTTAAAAAAAAAAATCACTCTCTACAATCATTTTCCCTCCTTCTCTGTGTTTTGGGAAATATAATGCATTTCTAAGGCAATCTGGAAATACTGCTTTTATATAGAGTTTAATATAGTATAATCCTTCCCAAAGACAAGCACTTTTAAGTGTGTGCTAAAATTCACCAAAGACCATGGAGATACACCATATATATATACATGAAATATTATTTCGGACCAAGGCATCCCTTCCAGAAAAGGAATAAAGATTTCTTTAGAAGAATGTGTTTACTGGCACAAGAGATTTTTGTCTGTATCCTCTTTCCAAACATTCTATCTGTATGTTCTTTGCTTTGACCTTGAATTCCTTTCTCTGCAAAAAATAACAGATTTGGAGACGTATGGGAACTCTTTGAAAGGAAAAGAGTCTGTCCTTCAGCCTGAGATTGTGGTCTGGTGCATTCTTCGTTGAACCGTGTGACATTCATAGAGACACTAGATGAAATCTATAGAGTTCATGTAGGATCATTTTACCATCTTCTAAATTTTTCTGAACTTCTTGTTTAGTGCATCTGAAAAACTGTAATTAAGTATACAATTGTGTTTATGCTAATAAATTTACTCCAGAGGTAAATATGGTTAATAATAGGAAAGTCCTTATGGGAAAGAATGACAAACAGAAAGGTCATGTTCGATGTTACCAATGCAGTTGGGTGACAGAACAAATGATTTATATTAACATAGCATTTTCTATAAGGTAACCAAACAAGTGATTTTACTAAGATGCTATTTCCTGAACTTGCTGGTGGTTTTGGAATTAAGGAGAACATTACTAGCTTTTCTAAAAAGGAAGTGGCATTTTCAGATTCTACTTCCCTAAGTCACCTTCTCCTTGACCTCTACAAACCTATGCCCCATTTTAAATCAGATCCCTGCTCAACACTCTTCACGTAGAGTAATTTTTAGTTATATCTCCAAAGGCTTATTTTATGAATGTCTGTCTCTCCCACCAAGCTGTAGCTTTGCTTACCTTTATATTCCCAGAGCATAACACAGTGCCTGGCAAACACTAGGGCTCGATAATATTTACTGGCCAACTAAAAGACTATTCACTGGGTTTTGATAAAGGCAGTTATGCCCATTGGCATCTTGGTAATAACTAACATTTATTTTTACCTGAGAGAGCAAAGGTGCATTTGAGAAGAGAATTGGATTTCTTTTTTTTTTTTTTGAGACAGAGTCTCGCTTTCTTGCCTAGGCTAGAGTGAGTGCCGTGGCGTCAGCCTAGCTCACAGCAACCTCAAACTCCTGGGCTCAAGTGATCCTCCTGCCTCAGCCTCCCAAGTAGCTGGGACTACAGGCAGAGCACCACTGCCGGCTAATTTTTATATATATATTGAGTTGGCCAATTAATTTCTTTCTATTTTTTTATAGTAGAGACGGGGTCTCGCTCAGGCTGGTTTTGAACTCCTGACCTTGAGCAATCCGCCGCCTCAGCCTCCCAGAGTGCTAGGATTACAAGCATGAGCCACCACGCCCGGCCTGGATTTCTTTTATTTATTTATTTATTTTTGACAGAAGTCTTCGCTTGGAGCAGCCAGAGTGAGTGCTGAGGTCATCAAGCTCGAAGCTCAAACTCCTGGGCTCAAGTAATCCTGCTGCCTCAGCCTCCCAAGTAGCTGGGACTACAGGCATGCGCCACCATGCCCAGCTAATTTTTTGTATATATATTAGTTGGCCAATTAATTTCTTTCTATTTATAATAGAAACAGGGTCTCACTCTTGCTCAGGCTGGTTTCGATATTAGTTGGCCAATTAATTTCTTTCTATTTATAGTAGAAACAGGGTCTCGCTCTTGTTCAGGCTGGTTTCGAACTCCTGACCTCGAGCAATCCGCCCGCCTTGGCCTCCCAGAGTGCTAGGAATACAGGCGTGAGCCACTGCTCCCGGCCTGGATTTCTTAATTATCATCAAATCCATTAGTTCCTGTTTCAGTTATTTATCATTATTATTATTATTATCAAAGGTGTTAAAAGAATGTTGAATATACCTAGGAAAGCCAGCCTCACTCCTGAGAGATGTGTTAAATCTGTTCAGCCACTTAATTACATCAGGACTTTTGACTAACAACAGGCCCCACTTCCAGAAAAAGATGATGAGATTTTTATCCAAACTATTATCAGGAACAAACAAGTTCACCATAAACCATTGTTGTTTAATCATATGTTGCTTATAATTAAAACAAGTTTACTTCACTCCACTCAAAAAGAAGCAAGTACCAGGCCGGGCGTGGTGGCTCATGCCTGTAATCCTAGCTCTCTGGGAGGCCGAGGCGGGCGGATTGTCGAGGTCAGGAGTTCAAAACCAGCCTGAGCAAGAGCGAGACCCGTCTCTACTATAAATAGAAAGAAATTAATTGGCAACTAATATATATAAATAGCTGGGCATGGGTGGCGCATGCCTGTAGTCCCAGCTACTGGGAGGCTGAGGCAGTAGATTGCTGAGCCAGGAGATTGAGGTTGCTGTGAGCTAGGCTGACGCCACGGCATCACTCTAGCCTAGGCAACAAAGCGAGACTCTGTCTCAAAAAAAAAAAAAAAAAAAAAAAAAAGAAGCAAGTACCAACCACATCTAATTACCTAAGTAACATTTAACACATATGGTAATAACTAACATTTCCTGGGTACTTGATAGTCCAATACAATGCTAAGCAACTTCACATGCACTTAACATTTAATTCTCACAACAATCCTTGAAGTACTATTATTATTTCCAGGAGGCTGAGGTTGGACAATTAGCAAAGGTGGTGAGGACCAGACTAGACCTCTGGGTCTCTCTGACCTCAGGACCTTCCTTCTTACCCTGTACACAAGTGTCTCTAGTAATTATCTCCTTACTAAATGTGGAGAGCCTAGAGGACTAGGACTACTTTTTACACATCTGTATCTATAGCAGGGGGCAGAGTGCAGTAAGACTCAGTAGTGTCTAGTGAATGAAGGAGGAAGTGCTTTCTTGATCATCAAAACTATATTATGTTTGGTATGATTTAATGTTAAGTATACTTAACTATAATATAGTGTATAGAAATAAAATACAGAAAACATTTATATAATAAGAAAATATATAATATATATGTACTATTTCTATTAAATTATTAATCCATGTGTTATGCTGACACAGAAGAAACAGCCTTTTTTTAGGTGAAATGCTCAAGTTCAAATAATAGCACTTTTATATTTTACAATCTAAGAAAAAAGCATGTCAACTCTACTTATATAAATAAAATGCTTCATTACCAGATTTTTCCACTTAACTAGAGGCTTATCATTATAAAACTACTAGAGAAAGTTTTATGAAAAATAGGACATCATATCTATAAGTACTTTCTTCTATTGGTTGAAGATCTAACTTTGATTTAACCTTATTTTTTTTTATTTTTCATGCCATTAGGGTCAATTTGGTCCTAGGGAAAATTAACCAGATACATACATTTTTTTTCTTTCAAGCTGCCAGGTTGTATACCTCTTTTGAAGTCCTTCTTCATGAAATCCTCCCTTTGAGTGTGTTTATAAGTTTTTTTTTTGGGGGGGGGGACAGGTCTTGCTCTGCTGCCCTGGGCTGGAGTGCATGGTGTGACCATAGCACACTGCAACCTCAAATTTCTGGGCTCAAGTGATCTTCCTACCTAAGCCTCCCAAGTAGCTGGGACTACATGTGCGCATCACCATGCCTAGTTAATTTTTCTATATTTTTGCAGATGTGGGGTCTTATGCTTGCTCAAACTCCTGGCCTCAAGTGATCCTCCTGCCTCAGCCTCCCATAGTGCTAGGATTACAGGTATGAGCCACTCTGCCTGCCCTTTTATATATACTCAATCCTTTATTCCATGCCTGACCCACCTCTCAGTGTTCCCAGTATTTGTAATCATCATGTTACATATGTTTGCAGTGACCAGTTTTTGTTCAATATTGGTCTCTTGTATCTGATTATGTAAAGCATTTGCAATGGAGGAACTGTTCCCAACTCATTCAATTTTTGTAATAGGTGACTGGTTGACTATGGATAGTTAATAACTTTTTTTTTTTTGCATAGAAAAGAAACACAAATTAGCCCTTCAGAGATTAACTCTGGGTGCCATTTTAAGCACATGTGAGATCTTTGCTTTTGGGTGATTCCCGAGGAAGAACTGTGACCACTCTTTAATGAGTTCTTTATGTGCTTACTTTTATGAAATGAATTACTTTCTTCATTTCACCATGTTTGGAACTTTACCATCTGGGGATTGCCTTTTTGCCAGTAATACCAACAAGGCCCCCTGTTTTTGTTGTTCCAAGAATACTGACCTAACCCACTTGTGGGCCTGAATTCTTTTCGTACTCTAGTCTTCAACATAAAATCTCTACTCAAAATCCCCTTGGGAATTTCCTGGTCCCAGTTAGGTTGGGCTGGCCTTGAGCATAGCTGTATTACATGGCCTGGTTAAATTCTGCAGTACTGTATATAGATCAGCAACACTGGTTTTGAAAATTTAACTAAGAACCTTCATTACAGATTTGGGTTAGATGTGTATTTCCTAGAGAATAGTAATGGGCAGTGCTGTTAAGAATAGCACAGTGAAAAGTTTCAAATGCTATACAAACATGTTTGTTGTAACCTAGAAATTTCCTCAGTAGATGGGGTATGAATGGGGTAGTATTTAGAGTTATAACTCAGGATTCACTGGGGTGTCCCTATTAACTCATATATTGCCCTCTGTGTCTGCCCCATAAATATATAACACACATTTAAAGTTCTCTAAAAAAGTTATTTCCAGGGCCTCCAGGAGGTGAGTTACAGGTGTTTGTACATAAGCCTGCACCTCTTGGGGCTGAGTCTCTATCAGGTATGCTGTCAGAGCACTGGGCTACTTGACTTATCAAAGTTGGGTAGAGTTTTGGGATGAAGTAAGGAGTAGTAGGCTGGGAATTCCCTTCTTTTATGAGTTTTGTTTGTTCTTGTTGGAGGAGTCTCAAAATGGGGCTGCTTGTGCCCTGAGGTTTTAGTGGAAACAACTCTTTCCATTCTTATTTGCATACTGCTCTCTCCTCTCCTTAACTTTCAGAGGTCAAAACTGTTCTAGGCTACTCCCTCCCAGTAAGTTCCTCCAGAAGGTACCTCTGGCAATGAAGGATTTCTGGTGGGTCTGCCCTATCAGTTGGCCAGTCATGTCTGTGTGTTTTCATCTCTCTTGGACTCATGATGGGACATTAATACCTACCTCTATCACTGTCTCACCTCCTTCATGAACTGGGTTTTTTGGGTTTTTTTTTTTCAGACAGAGTCTAGCTCTGGGACTACAAGTACACACCACCACACCTGGATAATTTTTTCTATTTTTAGTAGAGATGGGGTCTCGATCTTGCTTAGGCTGGTCTTGAACTCCTGACCTCAATGTGATCCTCCCATGTTGGCCTCCCAGAGTGCTAGGATTGCAGGCATGAGCCACTGGGCCTAGCCCTTCATGAACTGTTAACCTGCATACTCCAGTTTGAATCCCTCCCTCCCTTTTCTGAACTCCATATTCTATAGGTAATATACAATTTTAAGATTTTTTGGTTTAATAACCTAGTTCTGTGTCCTAGGCAACACAAACTTCAGAGCTTTCCAGGGGTAAGAATTTTCTATTAAAATCTTTTGTCTTCTATCACACTAGCTGGGGGTTCAGTCAATATTTGCTTTACTGAAAATGACAAATACAGGTGATTTACTTAGTTAATGATAAACACCACCCTCAATTCCTCCCCCACAAAGGAGAAAATATCAGACTTTCAAATAAGTAAACCAAAACTTTTTCTTTCTTTGTAAAGATGTGGTCTTATTCTGTTGCCCAGGCTGGACTGCAGTGACACGATCATAGCTCACTGCAGCCTCAAATGCCTGGGCTCAAAAGATTCTCCTGCCTCAGCCTCACCAGTCTAGCAGTACAGGCTCAAACCACTGTGCCCAGCGACCAACATTTTTCAACTTCCATCCTCCTTTGCTGGATCGTAGAGGTGAAAACAGAGTAAAACAAATATTACATCATTCAAAAAGCCCTAATATACCTTATTTGATGAATTCATTTATCACAAAGCAAGTCTAATCAGTCATATGGCTGAAGGGAAGACTGCATGATTTCCAACAAAAATTTGTGCATTATTCATGTATGTTTTGTTCCTACTGACACCATTTTCTTTAACAATGAAGAACATTTTTCTACTTATTTGAGTCTCTACAAAATAATCGGGATATAAGATCATTGGAAAAAAATGAAAACAGGGTTTGAATAAAAGATTATTTTTTTTACCAGCTATTTATTAATTACCCACTGTAGGCCAGGCACGGTGGCTCACATCTGTAATCCTAGCACTCTGGGAGGCTGAGGCGGGAGGATTGTTTGAGCTCAGGAGTTGGAGACCACCCTGAGCAAGAGCAAGACCCTGACTCTACTAAAAAACATAGAAAGATTAGCTGGACAACTAGAAATATATAGGAAAAAAAATTAGCCTGGCATGGTGGTGCATGCCTGTTGTCCTAGCTACTCTGGAGGCTGAGGCAGGAGGATCGCCTGAGCCCAGGAGTTTGAGGTTGTTGTGAGTTAGACGGATGTCACGGCACTCTAGTCCAGGCAACAGAGTAAGACTCTGTCTCACAAAAAAAAAAAAAAAAAATATCCACTGTATATGCTAGGCACCTAATACATATATCACATTGAGTAGTGGCTTAATAAGCAGAGGTTAAAAAAAAAATCCAAAAAGAAATTAGAAGCTGGCAGGAATCTAGTCCATCAGATTTATTTTAAAGGAAAGGAAACTGAGGTCCGGAGAGTTTGCTTTGCCTCATACCTGTTACAAGTTAGAGGCAGAGTTGGATAAAAGGTCTCTGATAACTTGGCAAAATCAAAATTGCAAGTGTAAAAATACCATGGAACCATAGATTTGAGGCATATTTAGAAACTGTCCAACTTTAAAAGAGTGTTAATAGTCTTGATTAGTTATGTTTTTTCTACCTTTTAATTTTTATATCATCATTTTTTATAGTGGCAGTGATCTTTTATTAAAAGCTTGATGAGGCAGAAACCTTTACAGAAGTTAAAGTCACTAAAGAAACCAGGTAAGTTAGGACTGAATAGCTTCACTACATTTAAGGTTTAAATTTTTGTGCTTTGTATGATAATGAGACCTGAAGAAAAGCATGGATGGGAATTTTCAATGTTATAAAGTTTTTTTCTTACAATTTTTCTCCCCTGAGTCTTGCTATGCTGCCCAGGCTAGACTCCCAACTCCGAGGCTCAAGTGAATCTCTCACCTTAGCCTCCCAATAGCTGGGGTACAGGTGCATGCCACTCTACCTCACAATATTATAATATTTTAAAAATTATAAAAATAATGTACTATTAGAGAGAATTTGGGAAAAAAGAAAGGATATGTTACCCAAAGGGGTCTAGAACACCCCACTGTGGCATAAAAATTATTTTGAACAGCAGAGATTTGAGTTCTGAAATCTCTTAACTGTCTAAAAGCAATCTCCCAAAAGAACTCTCAAGAGAACTTAAAAGCCATAAATTCCCTCCCCGGAAGTGACCAGGGAAGACTGACTCTTATTGGAGATGAGAAGTCTCCATATGACACCTAAACAGACATTGTCACAAAAACTATCATGCCCATCTATTCTCCTAAGGACCCATTTATGTTTCAAAAAGTTCATATGTTTTTCCATAAGTACCCTCTCCCCCTCCATTTCCTCTATTAAGATGGTTTATAAGCCCCAAATTCTAACTGCTCCTTTGAGGCACATTTGTCTGTGAACTCCCATACCTATCTACATAGTGAATATATATACACAGTTAAATTTTGTTTTCTCTTACTAATCTTTCTTTTGTCAGTTTAATTTGTAGGTACCCTGTTACAAACCTAAGAGGGTACAGGAAAACTTTTTCCTCCCTGACACACATATAAACTCACCATTGGAGTAAAACACCGATTATTTTGCATATTCAGTATTTTCAATTTCATTTACTTTTTACATAATTAAAATCATGGCTAACATCATGTAAGCACCCATCTGTGATGCTATATAACTCTCAAATTAATGATTTTTTAATGATTGCATAGTCTTTCACTGAGATAATATCAAGAAGTTCTGTAACTATTCTACTGTTGGATATTTAGACTGCTTCTGATTTTTTAAAATTGTGAATAATTTGGAAAACAATTTGTGAGCGTAAAGCTGTTTCCTTTTTAAAATCAATTCTGTACGTTACTTGCACAGGAAGGAGACCTGCAGGTCAAAGAGAATAAATACATTACCATATGCACAGACACACTGCTAAATTGCTTTCCAAAATAATTGCTTCAAGTGGTGTGGCCTTTGAAAAGGGAATGTTAAGCTAAATATCCCAGGGAGATGACAATTAGTGGTAAAGCAACAGAAAATGTATGACCTTCTTTTATAAACTAAATGACTTAAATCTGAGATAAAATAATAAGTAGAGGCCATGAAAAATGTAACCATTTAGTGTCTGGAAGATATGCAAACATGATAAAAATGATTCAGTTAAGAGGAATGAGACCCAGAGAAAGAACCCTTGGGCCTTTTTTATAAAACAAACAAAAATACTAGTGGATTCATTTAGCAACAGATTTGTGAATTGTTGAACAAATGAGTTTGTCTTAAGTGAAAAGGGCAATTTAGGAGCATCATTGCTGGTGAAAGTTCTGTTATCAAACCTTTATTTTGTTTTTATTAGCTTTCATTTGGAGGAAAGGGTAAACTATCAGACAAAAGGCAATTTGTGCTCACAGTTATCTGATTAGAAAAGGAACAACTAAATAGCCAAACCCTTCTCTCCCAGCAACTTTCCTGCATTTAGCCATTTACCCCTCCTTGGGAGAGCCCAGGTCCCAATTATTCTAACAGGCAATTGATAATGAGATTTCAAAGTGCTGCAGCAACAACAAAGAAATGGGAGAGTCTAAGAAACCACTAGCCTTTCATCTTAAAAATGGGGGGTGGGGGTGGGGGAGAACCACATCACAATTCAGTTCAAAACTTTTTTCCTACCTTGTATTCTAAAGAGGGCAATGTCAATTTTCATCTCAGAGTACCATTTTTCCTACTAGTTTCTCTACAGTGAGCTTTCCACAAATGTTTTTCTGGAGCACAACTACTTAAAATCCAAATTTATGAGCTGTAATTATCTAGTTCAAAGCTGAGAAAATTACTGAAAGTTATTTGTCCGCCCACCCCCACTGCAGCAACACAACTCATTTTCTCTCCTGCAGTGTTTTAGGGTTCAGCAGCAGCTGTAGCAAACTCTGTAGGATCGTCCCTACACACTTTTGACAAGACCAAAAATGTGAATCTGCAGACAGCACATTTTGTAAACAATCAGGAGTCTTTTTCCTTTTTTTGCCAGCTGGTAGTGAAAATACTGTTTTGTAAATAAATCATCTGCAGGAATCCTCATCAGGTCAGCTGTAAATGTGTCAGTTTGAGGAAAGCAAAGAGGAAAGCACTTACCAGTTAATTTTCTGTGATGAGGAGAGAGGCTGTTGTGATGCTTGGGTGTACCCTCCCAGAGCCAGAATGAAATGAAGGGTGGTGTTCAGAACTGCTACGTTGTACACTCTTTTCCAGCCTCCTCATTCTGCTTTTATCTGGCTTTGAAATGACACTGTAGAGAAAAATGATGCTGGGTTTTGAATGTGGTTCTTCCCTTGCCCCACCGCCCTCCATAAAAATCCATCTTGTATTCCAGCAGAAAAGCAATGAACATACGGTGCAAATTAATTCTTCTTGTGCAGGGAGTGTCTGTGTAACAGGTTTGGTTTTTTTTTTTTAATGGAAATCATCCCTATTAGCTGCCCTGCTGCAGGCTGAAATACAGAGATTGGAGGGGCACCAATCCCTTCTTTGCCTAGGTGGGCTTTTGCTTAAGAAAAGTTGAGTTAATTTAGCAGGGGTGGAATGAAAAGAAGCCCGAGAATGTCAAAGGGGAAGTTTTTCAAATGTATAGCAAACTATAGGACTCATTAGGAAAGAGATTTTATTTACTAAGTTTCAGTGTGTCCTGATAGTTGGAAAAAAATAGAATTATGTATTCATTAAGCATGAGTTTGAATTTTTAATTTCTCTACATGATAGGTTGAGAGAACTTTCCTAGCACTGAGGGAATTCCAAAGGTTTGATTTTTATCCCACATTACTCACTATCTGTGTACCTAAGGCAGGACTCAGAATTCAGAAATTTAAGGGATAAAAATTGTGGAGATTGACGGTGAGCCTGCCTCTGCAGAACTATCTAGATTAAAGGTTTAACATCAGCTCTACGATGTGACATATGAAATTGAACATGGTTAGGTCAGGCAGGGTCAGCTGCCAGAGAAGCACATAATTTTGTATTTGTCACCTGTCAAAGACCAAGTCTAGAAAATCTAAAGCAGGAATTCTCATGGTGGGGTTTGGAGGTGAGTGGGTATACTTTTTCAAACTACAGATATTCATCTGCCCTATAAGAATGTAAACTCTCCCATACTTATCCCTGATTCCTTGATTCCACAGAGATAACCACTATTAACAATCTTGGCATATTTTTGTTCAGTATTTTTTGAGAAGAGATGTGGTCAGTGAAGGGGCTAGTTCTGACTCCTTTGCATCAGCAGTGCTAATATTTACTAATAGTTCTATACTATGTTCTGTAATCACTCAAAAGCACAATTTCATCTACAAAAGGTGTTTTTGAGAAGAATTTCAGGAAGTTTTAGTTACTTTACATGATTTTGAGTTTATATTTTGGTGGTAGAGCAAGCAGTATTGAGTAGCAAAGAACAGAGGAAACAATTAAGAGAAATGACATTGATCAAGGATTGTCCTATGTGCCAAGCACAGTACCCACCCAAACCCAGAAATGTGAATGCATTTTAATTTTTGTGCTTAGCCACCACCTAAAACATATGCTTGCTTAGCTTTGAAATTAGTCTAAGAAACAGTAAATAAAAGGAATAGTAACATCTCTCTGCTAATGAGCCCTATAGTTTGATATATGTTTAAAGAGCTCTCCTATGACACTGAAGGCATGACTTGGAGTTGATCAGTTATACAAAAGTAGCTGAAGTGCTCAGGTATGCTAGAGATAACCTACCTGCCACCCCTGAACATTAAGGGTGTACTGGACATCAGCCAGGCTGTTTGGTGCATTGGTTAGTTGCTTAGCCAGTTAACTGGAGATCTGTTAAGAGAGCCTCTACTATAAGTGGAAGAGTTGGTCCCAGACATTCTGACTCCAAAGGCCATTCTCTTAAACTAAGAGGCTTAACCATTATGCTATCCATTTCCTCATTGGAAGAGATGTTTTCAGAATTCAGTGAATGAGAAGGAATAACAATAACTTCTACCAGATAAAAGGATTTCAGGACAGTTTCACCATTTTCTTTTTTTTTTTTTTTGAGACAGAGTCTCACTCTGTTGCCTGGGCTAGAGTGACGTGGCATCAACCTAGCTCCACAGACCTCACAACTCCTGGCTCAAGCGATCCTACTGCCTCAGCCTCCCGAGTAGCTGGGACTACAGGCATGTGCCACCATGCCCAGCTAATTTTTTCTATATATATTTTTAGTTGTCCAATTCATTTCTTTCTATTTTTAGTAGAGACGGGGGTCTCGCTCCTGCTTAGGCTGGTTTCGAACTCCTGACCTTGAGCATTCCTCCCGCCTCGGTCTCTCAGAGTGCTAGGATTACAACCGTGAGCCAATGCACCAGGCCCATTTTCTAAATCATTTGTAAATTCTCTGAAGCCTGTTATGGTTAGTATTGCAAAGTGTTTCTCCACAAGGGTATGTGTTTATAAGCAGGTCTGTAGGGCCAACTGTGCTCAGAGGGGAAGATAACACAGTGCCTCTATCATATTATTTTAAGGACCAGGCTCTCCCATTCCATAAAAAAAGCTTTTCTCCACTGGTGCTTTTCGCTGTTGGAGATTTGTTCTTTTGAAAATATTACATCGTAAAAGGTAAGATTTGTATTAATCTAATGAAGCTCTATTAATGAGAATGGGTTGGGTGACCTTAAGTCAGTCATCCTCTCCCCCCACCTCAACCATACCAGAAAAAGAAA